GGAAATGCTTCCAGTTCTTCATTTTTGAAGCATGTAAGCCATGAAGCAGCTCCCCACAGATCTTGCCTATCAGCGGCGTACATAAGCTTCAAGAGTTCCAGGAAAAAAAAATATGGTTTTTCTTTCCTTTGTGCTTCATTAAACTTCAGCTTTAACCAGGAGAAAAGACCATTTTGGGTAATATTGGTCAATATGGCCACTAGCTGGTGAATTTTTCTGAGATTAGCTACCAGTAAAGCAAGCAGCCATGAGGGTATAGTTGATACAGAGAACTTGATACGCATGCCGGAAGGAAACCACGTGAACTGTCAGGAGATGTCTACAACCAGTGCTGGTACCAGCAGGTGCACAAGCCAGGGCTGACATTTAACTGTACACTGCTGAAAGAGGTGGTTTGAGAGTGAAGCTGCAGCCACACAGAAGAGAAGAGATGGGATTCAGTTTTCTGCACAGGGTGGCTGTGGAAAAGCCACATGGAAGAAGATTTGCCTTGCTGAACTATAACCATCCAAAAGTTGGCATTTGCTCTGGATTTGCTGCCTGCGCTTCCTCCCTGGAGAAGGAGCACAGGGAACGGCACTGCCAGCAAGTGCCCCCTTCCTGTCACCCCAGTGTGGAAGACAGGCAGAGAGCCATTACAGCTATTAGAAGCAAAGTATTCAAACAAATTTGAAACTTCCCATTTTTAGCTCTTCTACTTTCCAGGTCCAACTGAATTGTTATAGCTCTAAACAGTCTTTAAAAGCCAGAGTAGTTCACAATTTGAACCTATTTTATTCTAAGATACTACTCTTTTGAAATCTATACATAGGATTTTACGTGAATTAAATCTTTATTCCATTCTCTGGCGACATAATACAAAATTATTTTAGCTCAGTCTGACCTTCATGCAGTTCCCTTTCTCTCAAAAAGAAACAATATTCATGTAAAGTCAAAAAGTGAAATGGAAAAAAAAATCTATCAAAACTTGGAAGTGTCGAAGACTCTAAAGCTACTTCAGACTATGCTACTGCTATGTGTCCTTACAGGGAACATGTAACAATTACCGTGTCTGGAAATCTACAAAAATACCAGAAAGGAGAAAAGATATTAACATGGTACAGAAACTGCCAGGTCAGCTAAAAAAAAACCAACAAACCTAACACAGAAGATTCGGGAAATATAAAGGTTAACACTTTAAGCAACTGATTTACGCAGAAATCAAAGCAAAAACTGTTAAAAAATTTTACTTGAGGCAAGAAAACAAACTGCACTGCTTAAAACAAAATATAACCATCTCAAATTGTAATTTTAATGATTTTTCAATGAATTTCATGTATTTGGTCCTAGGCCAATAGCTATTAAATGGTTTGAGGAGATTATATTGAAAGTACAGAATGGTATTTAAACTTTAATCATTCTTGAAGTACTACATGGAATTATCAAAATCCTAATTAACAGGGATAACTTTTGTCCACCAGCTACGTCCAAGGGTCACAGTGATATCATGATGAAGTGCTATTAGATCATCACTGAAAAAAAATGCTTAGACAGCATAGTAATATCTTGCTTTCATGGAACCAATGGACCATGGCAGAAATAGTGGCAGTACTTCTCACTATATGACACAAACTCTATATTCTAGAATTCATATTTCAGAATGCTTGCTTCAGCTTTAAGATCATATCACCAGAGCTGTAAGATTAGTTACAATCTGGTAAACATGGACACGGTTTTTATGGCTACACAATGCACCATGGCTTTAAGACTCCCAGTACACAGTTACAAAAAATTCTACACGTGCATACAGACAAGCCAGTTGAGTTGGCTTATCCCCATGTCAAATGTATTTGGTGGACTAATCTGAGACTAATTCTATCAGGGCCCAAAAGGATATTAAACGAAGTCTCCATGGTTCAAAATATAATGTTCACTCAAAACACAATCTATGGAATTTATTTTAAATAAAACTCATTAATTTGTTTCTCACACAATCTGCATATCTGTTATTTTGCTGTCCTTTTTGTCAGATTTTATGTGCATCATACAATATAAAATCTGCAATAACCAATCTGCTATGGAAGACAGTTTAGGAAAGGCCCTATCCCCCATGGTTATCTGTAGGTTAGATGTGATGGCCCAGAAGTCCTCTCCTAGCCTTACGTTCCTGCAGAACACTGGTGTAACAAGAAGAGCTGAACACAACAGCTGACCAGAACAGAGGGCATCAGCAAAGGCTCCAGCATTTCCCAGCTGAAAAAACCAGCATTTCACCGCAGGTTGTACAGCAAACACACAGGCTACTACCAGAGGAAATCAAATATTTGAAGAAACAGCGAGTAATGCATTTCAGTCACGCGTGAAGGGAAATCAATGAATAAGAATTGTACAATACCACCATGAACCTGTCCTTAAGAGACATAAAACAGTTTATTCTGAATGGAATAGAGTCAGCAAACACAGAAGTGGATTTTTTTTTTTGCAAAGGTGGAGGAAGCATAGTCAATTTTCCAAGAATTATAAAAGAACGATTAAAAAACACTAGAAGAAGGAGTAGGCCCGGATTCTTCTGTGAAAGAATCCTCTTTAGTTTACTTTTAAAAGACAAAAAATTAAAACAGAGGCACTTTGTTTTCGGTCACAGACTGATATTCCAATCATTCCGAGGCTGGAAAAATGAGAGATAAGAGGTTCAAATAATGCAAATAACTCCTATTCAAATGTGACAGGGATGTCTGATGTTCACAACCGCAATCTGAGAGTGGTTAATCACATAACAGAGCTTGTCTATACAGAGCTCTTTGAGAAACACTGAGATTGTTCAAGTGCACAAATCCTGCTGATCAGAAGCAAGGCAAGCTAGTTTGTTATTTAAACTCTGCCAGAGTTAAGAGGAGGAGCAGCAGTTGATTTTAGTTTCTAATGAATACTTGGTGCTTCCTTCTTGACCACAGGTTAAAGTTCTGGAAAAATGGAATAATGAGGAAAAATAGATTCCATCTGATGAAGAGGGGAAAGCATCCTTGGATATCAACCTGACAATCTAAGAAGTCTGTTTTGAACTAGTTTTGATGGGTATAGTGACAAAAGCCCATATGGAAGTGAAAACGAGCAAAAAACTACAGGTCAAGCAGTAAGACTGGAATTTGCAGTTTGGAGACCAGAAATCAGCCTAGGCCACAGGAGACTGGGAAGAGTAGGACACCAGACCAAACTTTAAGAGGCTGGGTGTCTGCAGAACACAGGCAGATGGCTGTGCGACCATAGCTCCCTCTAGCACATATGCCAGCCCTGTCTGATTATACATTGTGGATCATCTCTCCCACCAAACACACTCTATGCAGGCATATGTAGACCATGCCCTTCTACAATAGCACACTGTCTGCAGCCCACTTCTACTCACAAGTCGGATGAAGCCCATGAGTAGAAGAAATTGGCCTTTCAGGTCCCACACAGGGGGGCTATGCAAACCAGGAGACAGGCTGAGCAAGCGCACACTGGCATTTTATCCATAACACTACTACATATCCAAGCTAGAAACTGCCTTTTCCTGTTTCTCTCCTTCTTTATCTACATATAGTATTGGCGGCATGCGGGTTTAGTTCAATCCATATTTCTGCTGAGCAGAAATATTGGAGCAGGGAGACCAGCAGGTCCAGGGTTAACAGGCTAGAACATCAACTTCACAGAATCACAGAATGTTCAGGGTTGGAAGGGACCTCTGTGGGTCATCTAGTCCAACCCCCCTGCCGAAGCAGGGTCACCTACAGCAGGCTGCACAGGACCGTGTCCAGGCGGGTCTTGAATATCTCCAGAGAAGGAGAATCCTTCAGAATCCTTCAGAACTTCAAAAGAGTACAGCTGATCTACAGACCAAATTCCAGAACCCAGTCACCTTGCCACCCTGCTGATTACCAAGAATGATTCAAAAAGGTGATCCCTGGAAACAGAACATTGCTCTACATCCCACAAACCTGTTGTAGCAGGATACTACAGTGTGCAAGGCCTCAGTGTCAAAAGTTGCTTGAAAAGACATATGATCCCACAACGTTTGACAGGTCACCATGGTTAAGCCAAATCTGACAGAAGTGAGTCTATCCTTGTAGTGATGAGACTCAAGTGTGTACCACCTCCTCTGACCTGGATTACCTTTGCCAAGGACATCAGCTGTCACAGTCCAAAGCAGAGCCCAAACACACAGAAACATACAAGCAGCATAATCAGGAAACAAGCCCTCAAGTGCAAAGCTGAAAACGCATCAGTTTGATGGTATAGATGTATCTATCAATATTTGGCAGACCAAGTCCAGGCAGGATATAAATTTATTTAGGAAGAACATTCAAGGAAAAAACAAAACCACCAAAATATATACACTGGAAATATGAACTTCTGTGAAGTTTAGTATAATTTTTGCTGAATATCTTTACATGTAGATGCAAGCGAAAAGACTAGAGGCAGGATCATTGCCTGCATCCAGTCCTAGTTACATGCTATTGGGAAAGGCTTAGATGAGATTGTCTTGAGAAGTTATCCAAAGCGAAGTAGGGAGTTGTGAATTAAATTGAGTAGCCACTGTAAAAGCAACATGTAGGACAGTGAAAGATTTAGGAACGTGTTGAATGACAATATTTGCTTAAAAGGCACAGAACAATATCAGAAGGCTATTTGTGACTTCATAAAGCTTCATCTTCATTAATAGGAAGGAACTCATTATGATAAAATGAAAAGGACTTACTTCCTTCTAAGGTACCTAGATATAGTATCTTACACTGAACTTTCATTCTATGATGACAGTGACCATGAAGGCTCAAAGCACTTTCTAGATCACTGACTGATGTGTTGCTTTTGGATGACCCCTGTGATGAAAGAAGGAGCTTAACAGACAAACTTCCAAAATATTTATACTAAGTATGAATATTTGTGCTCAGAGGAATGGATAAAATAGAAAATCCAGTTTAGACAACATACAAAATGTCCTGGAAATGTAATGCATTAAAAATATTTTAAAATTAAATATTTACCCAGATCCTTAATGAGTGATAATGCTTCCCATGATATAAATGCTCCACCACCGTCATCCACAGCTCCCTGCCCAACGTCCCAGCTGTCCAGATGTCCACTGACCAACACAATCTGGAAAAGCAATTATGAGAAAACTTATCTACATGAAAACACTGAATCAGAAAAGTCAGTTCATAGCATTTAAGCATTTTAATGATTTTGTCATAAATTTGGCTTTTTAGTTTAGAATGGGAGCACAGAAACATTGCAAATAACAGTAAAACATTGTTTTCTAGTCACTGAATACAAATCTAGGATGACCAAATGCATCCTTCTGCTTCAAAACACTGCCTAAATCAAAGTACATACGCTGTGGGAAATGTTTATATGACAGGTTTTGTCTTGTACATTAACAAAGTGCATAGTTTCCAGAGATACAGACTACTACATTGCAAAATGGTGAAAATTTCTTTCGTAGTTCAGCTGTTGAAGCCCTTAGGCATGAAATTTGATTAACCCTATTTTGAGGGGCATAAGGAAGAAATATGAACTTAGACTGAAGTGTTCCCAGACAAGGGTTGTTGTTTTATTATATATCTATAGTACTTGTCACAGAGGACCTCAGATTTATTACTGGATCCCCTATGTGCTACAACAACGACAAGGCATTTTATAGTTCCATTAGTCATAAGGATATTTTAAATTATAAAGGACATGGTAGCAAGTCACAGATGGGTTTTCTGCAAAGAAAGTTTTGTGGCTACAGTAAAGTTGTACATGTATCTCCAGAAACACCCGCTTTCAGAATCATAGAATCATTAAGGTTGGAAAAGACCTCTAAGATCATCAAGTCCAACCGTGGAGATCTGAACTCTTCAAAAGTCAACAAGCAGCATCAGATCAATACCAGAAGCGAGACAGTTCCCTGAGTGGATCTGAAACTGAAAGGCTGATGGAACTATGATTGCAATACAGAGGTCAAGGAGGGACAAGAACTCCGAGCTGAGCAGGCAGTGTGGTAAAATGATGCAATAGGACAAAAACAAGAGCAGGGAGCCACTGCAGTGCCCCAGGAATCTTTGAAGAACTGGCACCAGTGAAGAGTGCCCTTGGGATAGGGTGGAGGTGAGAATGTCCAACCTATGACAGCTCAGCACTGAGGAAAAACTGAACGAGACTCTGAAGCATTCGGCTGTGTCCTGCCCAGAACTGGTCAGACACGAAGGGACCTGACAAGACGCATCCCAGAGTCCTGAGGGAACTGGCTGGTGGAGGTGTC